TTGAATCCATGGACTTTTGACATCCGCCCCTCAATCTAGTCGCGCTACGCAGAGTATTCGGGGGTCTCGCTGCCCGGTCAGCGAGCCGGGGGTCCAGGGGGCGGCGCGCCCCTGGCCAGGGGGTCCGGGGGGGATGGAATACCCCCCGGTGGGGTTCGGGGCAGCACCCCGAAGCTCCACGGTATACACCAGGATCTATATTGGGTTTCCTTACCCAAACGCATGTCTGATGTCCGCCTTTGGATTCTGGAATGCTTTGCTGAGGACTGCGTTCAGGATGGTTAATGCGGTCTGGAGACCTGCGTTTTTGTTTTGTAACGCTCCCTCGAGGGTTGTGTTCTGGCTCAGTAATGCATGCCTGAGCTTTGCGTTTCGATTGTATAACGCGCCATTTAGGGCTGCGTTCAATCTTATTCACACAGAGCCTATGTTTTGGCTCATAGACGCGAGGCTTGCGTTCTAAAACAGAAACAGGGTCGCGTTTAGGCTCATAAACACGAAGCTCGTGTTGACTTAAGGATCGACGCTCGTTGTAGGGATCTCCTCCTCCATCGAGCGGCGTTCTTCTTAGCCTGCTTCAAGGCCTTTGCAGCGACGCCACCATCTGTGTTTATCAAGTTTGTCGCCTCAATGGACATCTTTTGACCCGATACCCGTCATCTTGGCGCGGGTTTGGCTGAAGCTGAGCCCACTCCATCGGGGGAGGGGCTATCCGAGCAATCTTCCTTAGGTGGTCCGGCTGCAATTGGAGCAGTTGGAGCTTTAGTCTCTTTGGAAACTTTGTGGATCGAGCAGTTGGAGCTTTAGTCTCTTTGGAAACTTTGTGGATCTTGCGCATAGCCTTGGGGCTAAGGGATCAGGAGGAGAGGGCCTCCTCAAACTTGGCTTGATCAAACTCTACCACGAGAGTTTCGACGGTTGTTCCAGTGAGATGAATATCGGATTGTGCCACCACTTCTTCGTCAGAGAAGCTCTTCCCCAGCGGAGTCACCATCTTTTGTTTGTGGAAAATTTTGTAATAAGAAAATGAATGAAAGAACTGTATTTGATTTTATTCTCTCTAACTGCTTAGAAAAAGAATGTTTACAAATCTCTCAACTCTCGATTACAATTGGATTTCCTGATTACAAAAGAGAGGAGAATGATCTAGATTCTCCCCTTTGTTTAAAACTGGGTTCTTCACAGTGGTGATGAGATGCCTCCCTCGAATGCTCGCGTCGAGTTTGCTTCTCGTTGACGATCTGACGTCTTGTTTTACTGGAACATGGTCTTCTCCTCACGATTTGACGTTGTGGAGAACTCTGAACGAGTTTGAAACTCTATGAAAGAGTTGATTTAACCGAAATCGGTCTATAAGCCAAGGATGAAGAAAGCTCCTGTTGCCGAATATTGCTGAGGGATGACGTTAATCTCCTCAAATGCCTGCCCAAGGATCTTTCCTGTTGCTGCCAAGAAGTTCCAACAGACCGAACCCTTGAACTGAATTGATTTTTAGTTATTTATAGGGGATTAAGAGGTGTAACCGCCCCCTTAATTCGCTCCTAAGTGGGGCTAATGGGATGTAACCGCCCCTTAAATCACTCCTGAGTGGAGTTATGATCCCCTCAGATCGTGGAAAACGGTTTTAAAACCGTTCAGCTCGTGTTTGAACGAGTCAAACGCAAATCCTGCATTCTGGAATGAAATCTGCGTTTGAACACAGCGTCTGGAGGCTCAGACGTAGCGTCTTGTTGGAAACTGCATTGGCAGTTTGTTGGAAGCTGCGTTTGCGGCCGAATATGAGCTGCGTTGGTGGCCGAATCTGAGCTGCGTTTGCAGCTTTTGGAGCTGCGTTTGAGCTGTGTTCATGGCTATGAATGCGGCACATCTTGATGCTGGTACGCGGGGAGGACTTCCACGACTTGATTTGAAGAGACCGTAGATTTATAGTCTCTTTCTGTCGAAGTGTTGCAAAGATCGTCATTTTGTAATCTTTACTTTAGCTCTCTGATATGTGAGAGTCGTCAGATTGTAACTCCCGATGTTGATTGTGGAGGCTGTTCATTAGAGCTTTCATCAATTGTTGTGAAGGTCATCAGATTGTAACCTTCATCGATCCACGTGAAAGTCTTCAAATTGTAGCATTCTGAAAGTCGTTAGATTATAACTTCCATTATCGGTGTTTGATGGGGATCGACTATCTATTGTGATTTTTAGACAGCCTACAGAAGCACTCTTCAATTCGGATTCTGCTAGCTTTGGTGGCACAGTATGGATTAGAGTTAGATCAGTTGGATGTGAAGACGGCATTTCTTCATGGTGATCTTGATGAAGAAATATATATGACTCAGCCATTGGGATTCCGAGCTGCAGGGAAAGATAAGTTGGTTTGCAGGCTAAAGAAATCGCTATACGGTTTGAAGCAGTCTCCTCGACAGTGGTATAGGCGATTTGATGGTTTTATGCTTGGTCATTCGTACACTCGGAGCCAGTTTGATCCTTGCGTGTATTTTCGCAAGTTGAGAGGAGGTGCGTACATTTATTTGTTGCTTTATGTCGATGACATGTTGGTTGCTTCTAGTTCCAGGTCAGCTATAGATGAGTTGAAAGTTCAGCTTTCGAATGAGTTTGAGATGAAGGACTTGGGCGAGGCGAAGCACATTCTAGGGATGGAGATCGGCAGAGACAAGAAGAAGGGCAGGATTTGTTTGACACAGGTGGCTTATTTGAAGAAGGTTCTACAGCGATTCCATGTTAGCATGGATACGAAGCCAGTTGGTGTATCGTTGGGAGCCCATTTAAAGTTTTCAGCTGGCCTTTCACCGAAGTCAGTTGAAGACCGTGAGTTGATGTCGAAGACTCCATATGCAAGCGCAGTTGGGATTTTGATGTACGCGATGGTATGTATGAGGCCGGATTTGTCACAGGCAGTGAGCATGGTGTCGAGATACATGCACGATCCAGGAGTGGGTCATTGGGATGCCGTGAGATGGATTTTGAGGTACATTCTAGGTACGCTCAATGTTGGTTTGGTTTATGAACGGGACACTACAGGTGGGCAGCTATGCATTGGCTATGTTGTTTCGGATTATGTCGGGGATTTGGATAAGCGCCGGTCTACGACGGGGTATGTGTTCACTTTGACCCATGCGCCGGTATGTTGGAAATGCACCTTACAGTCTACGATAGCTTTGTCTACGACGGAGGCAGAGTATATGGCAGTTACGGAGGCTGTGAAGGAGGCTATTTGGCTTCGAGGACTTTTGGAGGAACTTGATATATCGCAGAGGTCCATCACTATTCATTGTGATAGCATGAGTGCTATCTATTTGGTGAAGAATCAGGTTTTTCATGCGCGGACGAAGCACATTGATGTTCGTTATCACTTCGTTCAAGATGTTCTTGAAGATGGCGATGTAGAGATTGTGAAGGTCCACACGAAGGATAATCCGGCGGATATGCTCATAAAGGTGGTTCCGAGCAACAAGTTTGATCATTGTAGAAACTTGTTGAATATTTGTGATTGTTGAGGCCGTTGGCGGCCATTTGGATGAACTACGGGCGGCTTGATCCATTGGGAGAGGGGGGACGGAGGCAACCATGGTGGTGCAGCCTTTTCGGAAAAAGTTGCCTTCGTTGTTGAATTCATTATAATCTGGATTGCTTACAAAGAATTCAAAATATTCAATAAAAAGAATAACGAAAATGAAAGATTACAACTTTTCGAAAAGAACGCAAGATCCGTTCGTCGTTTCTTGCTTGCGTGGGTCTTTAGCCGGTGATGGGGACGTAGATATCCGTGGACTACCTGGCAACCAGATCAAGTCCAGAACTTCTTCGACTCGCGAAGGAATCTAGAAGCAGGAGCACCTATCTCGACAACAGCGAGATAATTGCTCTTCTTAGAATTACCACAACGGGATAATACTAAGGATTGGATGCGGGTGATGCAGATCTGACGACTCTCGATCTCTTGCGTTGAAGAACTCGATCACTCTTCAGGGCTTCGCCAATTCTCCAAAACTCCAGATCAGAAAAAAGTGAGGATCCGGGGCTGTATTTATAGGCTCCAGGAGGTTTCGGGTGGTTAAAACCGCATAAAGGCCTCTTTCTGCGTTGGAGACACCCCAGGGTGTCTCAACCTGAGCCGAGACACCCTAGGGTGTCTTAGCTTTGGCCGAGACACCTTAGGGTGTCTCGTTGGTCCGAGACACACCGTTGTGTCCATTTGTCCGCTTTCGCTGTAAATTCTTCGTCCGAACTCGGATTTGAGTGGTTTGAAGTGCGTTGGAAAGCCGACGAGGAGTTCTATTAGCTCCGATGGCTGGATCATCTGTAGAATGAATGAGACACGAAGGGCATTGTTCCTTTTGTAAACATCGTGGGGTTCCCGATTAGTCCGTGCCTTCGTTATTCCGAAATTCTGTTAGTTCACATAGTTCGTCGATTCACTTCAAGCGTTCACCAAGATCAATCGAACTCCTGTGAACCGGATAGTGATGTTTATCATCGTTCCTTAATACTAAGCTGTTCGTGGAGACCTATAGGCAATTTTCGATGCCTACAGATACCCCCTCCAAAGCGTTCCAGACTCGTTTCTTTTATAGAAGAGGCTGGAATGCTTTGGATGTGATTGGTCCAACCTTCAGTTGGCGTAAAGGACCTGTAGTTAGCTTCGATTCCTGACTCTTTCGATTTTCAGTCTACTCGATGCTTTGATGAATAACTAAAATCCATCCGGCACTGCATTTATCGTCTGGCCGTCGTCAGAGTCTCAAATCTATCACTAATGAATTGAGTTTGGCTCGTGTCATTGGTTTGACTTTTTAATCACAACGTGTTGACTGGCGTTGACCTAGGGTTACGCGTTGACTGGCGTTAGCCCTAGGGTTTTGAATCGTCGTTTGTTGACTTTTTGGTCGCAACACGTTGACTGGCGTTGACCTAGGGTTACGCATTGACCGGCGTTGACCCTAGGGTTTCGAACGTCGAACGTTGACTTTTTGGTCGTAACGCGTTGACTGACATTGACCTAGGGTTACGCGTTGACCGGTGTTGACCCTAGGGTTTCGAACGTCGAACGTTGACTTTTTGGTCGCAACACATTGACTGGCGTTGACTTAGGGTTACGCGTTGACCGGCGTCGACCCTAGGGTTTCGAAACGTCGAACGTTGACTTTTTGTTCGCAACACGTTAACTAGCGTTGACCTAGGGTTACGCGTTGACCGGCGTTGACCCTAGGATTTCGAACCGTCGTACGTTGACTTTTTGGTCGCAACGCGTTGACTGGCATTGACCTAGGGTTACGCGTTGACCGGCATTGACCCTAGGGTTTTGAATCGTCGAACGTTGACTTTTTGGTCGCAACGCGTTGACTAGCGTTGACCTAGGGTTACGCGTTGACCGGCGTTGACCCTAGGGTTTCGAACCGTCGTACGTTGACTTTTTGGTCGCAACGCGTTGACTGGCATTGACCTAGGGTTACGCGTTGATCGGCGTTGACCCTAGGGTTTCGAACCGTCGTACGTTGATTTTTTGGTCGCAACGCGTTGACTAGCGTTGACCTAGGGTTACGCGTTGACCGGCGTTGACCCTAGGGTTTCGAACCGTCGTACGTTGACTTTTGATCGCAACGTGTTGACTGGCGTTGACCTAGGGTTACGCGTTGACTGGCGTTGACCCTAGGGTTTCGAATCGTTCGGTGTTGATTAGTGTGGATTTCGTCGAAATATCCAACAACCGACGAAAATAGGCAAATTCGGGCTTGAAAGGGACATTTGTGAGCATACGGGGATCAACCGAGGACCGAGACACCCGTGGGTGTCTCAACCTTGGCCGAGACACCCTTGGGTGTCTCGGCCAAGGCCGAGACACCCTAGGGTGTCTCGGTTCAAAAACCGAGACACCCTTGTGTCTCTCTCCTCTCTTTTGTTTTCTTATGCATAGTACTCTTTTTCCCTTTTTTTGAACTTTTAAGAGAGAGTACTTTTCCCCCCAAAACCCTATCTTCTTCCTTGTCTTATCCTTCCACCATTGTTTTTTTTACCTTCCAAGAACTCTAAACCCATTGAAACTCTTCCCCCTTAAAAGCCTAAAATTCGGATTTTCTGTGTTCCCTCCTTGACCGAAATTTCTTTCCTCTCAAACTAGGGTTCCTCCTTCATCCTCAAGTTCAAAGGAAGCTTCTTGGTTTTGAGTAAGTTTCCTCTCACAAACTCTCTTTTTTTTTGATAAAGATTGAAACTTTATGCTTGTAATGAGGGTGTGTCATGAATTTGTATGCAAAGATCATAGCTTTTTGTTCTCGTGAGTTAGAAGATAGGCTCTTTGATGATGGGTTGTGTATGCATAAAGTTTTGGGGGTCTTATGCAAAAAAACATAATATGGCCGAAATTAAGGGGCTTTTGTGCAAAAGTGGACTGAAATTTGAGGGTTTTTATGCAAAGTGGGCTGAAATTTAGGACTGAAATTTTACCCCCCTTTTGGCCGAATTTGAAGGGTGTTTGTATGCTAAGAATCAATGTTGTTTGAGGGGTTTATTTGCAAAAAGAAACCCAAAACTTGTAGAGGGGTATATTTGCAAAAGGGCTGAAATTTTAGGGCTGAAATTCTAAAAGTTTAGACCACAAACCCATGACTAAAGTTTTGAGAAAGGTATGCGAAAACCAAACCGAAATTTATGGAGGGGTTTATTTGCAAAATTGGCTAAATTTTACAAAAGGGTTTATTTGTAAAATTAACCAAAATTGTGGGATGTTGGGGGTGCTAGATGAACAAATATGATGACTATGATCCAATTCGAGCGTGTCCTTGACCCGAATTTAGCCTTAAACACGAGGGGTATTTTGGGTATTTCACCAAAATTTACCGTAAAATGACAATAATTGTTTTGTATGCACGAAATTTGCAGGTTTAATTAGACTTCAACTATAAAATCCTATTTATTCATAGGATTTTAGTTAAAGTTCTTAATTTTCCTTTTAAATTTTGGGTATTCAGATTTTAGATTATACCTGACCTGCCGATTTTCATTGCAGATTTTCGATGTCTCCACGTCGACCTCGACTTCATAGGAGTCGATCCCTTTCGCAGCATAGCGAGGGAGAGGTTCCCACGGCATCCTCTCCAGCGGCATCCTTTTTCGGGGGTGAGCACTTATATTTTGTATATCCCTGATTGATCCCTTCGCGGGTCATTCCGGAAGAACCGACATCCTCCTTCGCGGGGATCGAGGTTTCAGGATATTCGTGGTTTCAGTACACCCTCGTTTGGCCCCTTCGCGGGTCATTCGGGAAGGGCCGACACCCTCCTTCGCGGGGGTCGAGGTTTCGGACTTGTTTTGCTTAGCCAATTCAAGTCTTCCGGTATATTGGTGCGATTTTGTGTCGTCTTACACTTTGTAGGTCAGTGTATGTTACCACGTTATTTACATGATGATGTATACCGTTCTTCCAGTGTAAGACACTCAAAATCGTCTCTCTAATTACCCCGCGGATCATTTAATCTTGCTCTTTTATGAGATAGATTTAATTCATGGATAATTTTCTGACTCCATCCTTGTTTTGTTGCAGTCGAGTTCCCTACGGGCAGTCTCTCTCCTCATGCTACTATCGGTTGTAGTGGGGAGGTTTTCTCTTCGGTTTCCGTCAGGCAGGCTGTTGGTTCACTTCCTCAGTTTGACAGAGATCGTTCCGATGAGTCTTGCAGTTTGATACGAGATGGGGGACGTCATTGCTTACGCCGGCTGATCACGGATGCTCCTTTTACTACGGACTCTACTTCTACTCAGGTTTTAGAGAAGCCCAGTTTTCTGTTCGGAGATCACAATGAGGATCCGGCTAAGTTGATTCTTACTGATGAACACTGGCTGAATAATGATGAAGGAGCCCTCCTGTA